TGATAACCAGCAGGGAATGAATTCCTATTTGTTTCATTGGTTAATGGGTGAGATGTTACTACATTGAGTTGATCACAACCAGAAAACTGGACTGAATCTGAGAGATGGCCCTGTGTCATAAAGCATCTGACTCCAGTTTTGAGACTGACCACTGATAATTTTCAAGTCTCACCTCCACTTTTCCCTTCCATCCCACATTTGGGCAAGCTGATAGGAAAGTCCATGTGGCACCAGGGGAGAAGTTCAAACTACACAAGATCTTGGCCTGTGTGTGGGAACACTCACCCAGTTCCACCCCCTAAACACAATAAAACTCAGGGCCACTCACCTTTGTTTTGCTGAAGTCGTTTTTGGACTAGCTTAGGTGTCTGAACTGCTCTTCTAGAAAGTCTCAATATGTGAATAATAAACTTCCTACCTTCTTGGTGCATATGTGGCATCATCAGTCTTGACAGTGAACCAGTTTGGGGTGGATGTGGGTCCATCATGCCTCTGTGAAGTGAACACAACACTTTGCCTTTCACACTGGGTTGGTGACCAGGAAATTTCTCAGTCTGGTGTCAAAATCCGCAAAGAACCCAGACTCGCATAGAGAGGTGGATATAAGTAGCAGAAGATTTTCACTGCTTTATAAACTCTAACATGCTAATCATCAAGGAGAGATGCCTAGAATACAAACTAGGAGGTGGTACTAAGAGAATCTATCAGACTACTAAACTGGACATCTGCTATTTTTCCCTGCCCAGAATCCCTTTCCCCGACCAGCTCTGTCTCTGTCTCTCTCTCTCTGTTAACAGGACCTTGATTTCACTCTGAGGAACTACCCCTCCCACACTGTTAATCCCACCCCTGCGAATTAAGGTGGGTGTATGATACTGGTTTGGCCCGTCAGAGTACTGCACTTCCTTGATCACAGTGATTTTTTCCATGACAGCTACATAATCCTTACCAAGCTAATGAGTATAATACATGGATGCCTTACTGGAACTGAGAAAGAGGTTTCTTGCAGCTGGGGCTGCTAAATTGGTGGCCATCTTTGCTCCCACAATGAGAGAAACATGAGAATGAAGCGATACAAAAGAAGATGAAGTAAAGAGAAAGAAATTGTTGTTGTTTTTAAGATGTTATTTATTTATTTGAGAGAGATGGGGGGAAGCACACAAGCAGCAGGGAGGGGCAGAGGAAGAAACAGACTCCCCACTGAGCAGGGTGCCTGAGGTGGGCTCGATCCCAGGACCCTGAGATCAGGACCTGAGCTGAAGGCAGATGCTTAATCGACTGAGCCACCAAGGTGCCCCAAGAGAAGTTGTTAATGATAACATTTCAGCACCCACACCCAGCCATTCCTGAATTTCTATCCCATGACATTTCACTTATGTGAACCAGTAAATTCCTTTATTTATTTATTTATTTTCTTAAAACAGCTTGATTTGGATTTTGGTCTGTTGTTTTTCAAAAAGTCTTGACTAGTACTTGCTGAAGTGGAATTATCCATTGCTGGATCTTCTTGCATCCATCTCCCCCAGGACCACCTTGCAGGGAGAGACCAAATCATTGTGTTAGGCAAATATTTGCATCGGTCAAGATTCTTTCTTTCTGTTTTTTGTTGGTTTGTTTTTGTGCAAAAAGGTGTTTTTATTATAGTACAGGGACAGGACCCCTGGGGTAGAAAGAGCTGCTGTCAAGATTCTTTCAGTTGCAAGTGAGAGAAACCCAACTCAGTTGGTTTCTGCATAGAAGTATATCCTAAGGTTTTCAGATTATTTGCTGGCTTGCTATAAGCTCACTGGTTATGGTTGGAGAACATCTGGTGTTTTTTCCTTTTATCTTTTCCTTCTTCCTTCTTCCTTCTTTTCTTTTACTTTAAGGGCATAGCTCGGCCAGCAACAAAGCCTCTTGAGGAGGGGAGGAACAATTCTGGTTCAGCTTGGTTGTTACAAGACACTTAGATTTACTCTGGTATGCACTGTGGAGTCGTCTGACTAGGGTTTGGGGTGGTTAGGTACTGGGGTCTGGCCAGGCATCCCTCTGTTTATTGAATCTCAAGGTCTCTTCATGTGCTCTCTCCTTGTGAGTTAATTTGGGCTTCCTCACAGCATGGTGGCTTCAGAGCAATGGAACAGTTTACATTCCTGAAGGCTTTAGGAGGAAATATTTCAAGAGAACCAAGTGGAAGCTATATGATCTTTTCTGACCTAATTTTAAAAATGATGAGGCAGGCGCCTGGGTGGCTCAGTCGTTAAGCGTCTGCCTTCGGCTCAGGTCATGATCCCAGGGTCCTGGGATTGAGTCCCGCATCGGGCTCCCTGCTCAGCGGGAAGCCTGCTTCTCCCCTCTCACTCCCCCTGCTTGTGTTCCTGCTCTCACTATCTCTCTGTCAAATAAATAAAAAAATCTTTAAAAATAAATAAATAAAAAATAAAAATGATGAGGCATCAGGGTACCTGGGTGGCTCAGTCGTTGGGCGTCTGCCCTCAGCTCAGGTCCTGGTCCCAGGGTCCTGGGATCGAGCCCCACATCGGGCTCCCTACTCCGCGGGAACTCCCCCTGCTTGTGTTCCCTCTCTCACTGTGTCTCTCTCTGTCAAATAAATGAAATCTTTAAAAAAATTAAAATAAATAAAATTTAAAAAAATTTAAAAAAATGATGAGGCATCACTTCCACTACTTTCTACTGGTTACAATCAAATCACTAAGTTTGGTCTAGATTCAAAGAAAGGGGCATAGACTCCACCTTTCCATGGGAGGAGTATCAAGGTCATTTGTAGAAAACAAGTGAGATGAGAGAGATTATTGCAGGCAACTTGGATAATACCATTTGCCACAATAAAGTCATAAGATACTAGATTACAAATTACAATGTCAAGTTACTAATTTACAGTAGGAGACCTAACTTTCCACTCACCCCAATACTCAGATCTGACAAAAATACCATTCTCCTCATATTAGGATCTGGTATAATACATTGTCAGGATGGTACTCGGTGAGAATGGAATCAGAGCCCAGAAGCTTGGCTAGTCTTGAAAGGTATTTCCTTTAAGATGGGGCCGAATTTTGCAGCATTATTTACAACAAACAAGATATGGAAACAACCAGTGTCCATCCATAGATGAATAGATAAAGATGTGGTATATGTGTACATATATACATATATGGCATATGTATATATATATATAATATTACTCAGCCATAAAAAGGAATGAAATCTTGCCATTTTTGACAACATGAATGGGCATAGAAGGTATTGTGCTAAGTGAAATAAGTCAAACAGAAAAAGACAACATGATTTCACTAACATGTGGAATCTAGAACACAAAAAACAAATAGAAACTGTTTCATAGAGAAAAAATTGGTGGTTGCTAGAGGGGAGGGGTGGGGGGGTGAGATAGATGAGGGGGATTAAGAGGCACAAACGTCCAGCTATAAAATAAATAAGTCACAGGGAAGAAAAGTGCAGCACAGGGAAAACAGTCAATCATATTGTCATGACTTTGCATGGTGACAGATGGTAACTACACATATCTAGATAAACATTTCTTGATGTATATAAGTGTTGAATCATTATGTTGTACACCTGAAACTAATATAATATTGTATGTCAACTACACTTCAATTAAAAAAGAAAAGATGGGGCTAAGGTTGGTCAAATTTATGCCTTATTCCAAATGGTGCATATTTCTCTAGTAATCAGAACACTCGTGTGTTTATATAATTTGTGTCTTCAGCGGACAATGCTGGACAAACACCATCTGATATTTTTCTTTGGTTCTTTTTTAGATTCTATAGACCATCTTCCTTCTGTAACACAATTAAGTTACACGTTCTTTGTTTCTCAATCATATCTTCCTTAGACTATATTCTCCTAGATGAAAACACCTTGCAAGATATTTACAGGCTACTTATTGGCCAAGTAACTGCATCAACAACTGGATTGGTTCATGCAACAGTTCTCTCTCAGAGGGAAACCTGATTTCCAAGCTCTGGGACATATCAGTGTAATACTGTGTTTCTGTTCACAGACCTTGTGCATTCCTTCATTTGGATTTTCTCTAATAAATATGAAGGAGCTCCTCATTTATTTTAAGTATTAACCATATTGAATGGCACATTTGAGGGGAATAGTCCCTGTGCTGTTACTTTTACTTCGTTTGTGGTTTCTTCCATTATGTTAAAGCTAAAACAGTGATCATAACTTCACATACCAGATAGAGTTACAAAATGCAACCTAGTTAAGCACTTTAACAATTCGCGGCCTGGCTCCACGACTTCTACTTCTGCATCCTTGGGCATGTTATTTGACTCTCTCCGCCTCCTTCTTATGTATAAAATAAGGGTAATACATACGGGTAATAACAGCACTTAGTAAGTTTTTAAAGATTAAATCAACTTTTCTTACGGGCTTAGCTCAATGACGAGCACATAAAAAGCGCTCAGTGTCTATAGCTTTCAGTCTAGCACCCAAACCTTGTCTAGATTCACGGCAGGCTGACTACGTTTTAACGACGCTCTGGAAAATCAGAGAATTTCTCTGGGGTGTCTTGCTTCCTTCAAAGCTGGGTGAATCCCAGCACCAAGTAGCAGCAGCCCGCGTCTAGCCATCGGGGCCACAAAGCCGCCGCGCACGGGTCCCCGGGCCTCCCAGGGGAGGGGCACGCGGGGCGGGGGCGCTCCCCGGCTGTCCCGCAGGCCTCCCCCTCCCCCACCCCCGCCCCGCTCGCGGCCGCCGCCAGGGGCGCGCTCCGATCCCGGCCGGCCTGGCGGCGGGGCCACCGCGCTCCCAGCGCGGACTTGGGGCCACGACGCGGGAGGCGGCGGGGAGGCCTGGCGGGAGGCGGGGACCAGGAGGCCTCGGCGGGGACAGCGGGCCGGGCCTGGCCCGGGCGGGCGGCGGGAGGGGGCGCTGCGGGGCCGACCGGCCGCGGCGCGGAGGAAGTGCCGTCTTCCCGCCGCCTCAGCTGCCTCAGGCACGCCGCGGGGGCCGCCTCAGCCGCGCGGGCCGCGATGTCTTCCCGGCCCGGGCGCGACGACGCGGGGGCCGGGGGCGTGCGGAGGCCGCGGGAGCCGGCCGAGCAGGAGCTGCAGCGGCGCCGGGAGCAGAAGCGGCGGCGGCACGACGCGCAGCAGCTGCAGCAGCTCAAGCACCTGGAGTCCTTGTGAGTCCGCGCCGCTCCCGCCTCTCCGCCAGGCGCGGGGTCCGGGTGGGCCGGCGCCGCGCCCCGGCGCGGGAGGCTGGGTCCCCGGGGACCCGTGCGGCGCTGGCACCCGGACTTCCAGTCTCGCCTCCGCGGGGAGGGAAGGGCCGTTGCTCCGGCGCGCCGAGCGGCCTGGGCCGGCCGGGAAGCTCGGGCTTTATTCCCCCGCCCGAGGTCGGCGTGCGGCCGGGGCTCTGCTTAGCGCTGAGGACCGTGCGGCACTTAGTAGGCGCTCGGTGGGGACTTGGGGACTGAACACGCGGCAGGTGCAGTGAGCGCCGCCGTCCTGCCCTTTCAGGGTTGTCAGTTGACAGGGCCCCCCGGGAGCCGGATAAAACCCCCGATCTCTTCATCCGCTGCTAGGAAGGGAAGAGAACACGCCGTCCTCTACCGTTAGTGCGGTGGGGAGGAGAGGGCTGGAGAATGGGGTGAGGGACTTGTCCCTAAAGATCCCAAAGGTGGAAGAGAGTGGAGACTTGTTCTCTTTAGGCTTGAGGGGCGGTGGTGGTGGTGGTGGTGGTGGTTTACCAGCATGAAGGGTGGGGGCTACAAAGAGGCCAGTTCCGGCTCAACAAAAAGACTTCGGACCAGAGTCTCCTGTGGTTGCTGGTCAGCATGGCCTGACTTAAAGGGGCACCGTGCGCCCCCAGCTCCAGCGGGTTCGGGGAGAGAGCCCAGAACCCGCGGGAGGAGGGCGGGTTGTAAAGGAGATTGCAACATCAGGTGGGAGGTGGACCTTCCAGTTCTTTTCTGTGATTCTGTCTTTCTGTAATTAGCTTTAGAAGGCAAACTTGTAAGTTTGGTGCTCACGGAGTTCTTCAATACATACTTCGTTTCTATTTCAGGCACTTGCATTACCTAAGCTAAGATGATCATGTAAGGAAACGTCCTCAAAGGATTCAGATTCTTTATAATTAACCTGGGAGCTTTGACACAAAATGCATTGCACTGTTGGAGGCTGGCCTGCTCCTTTCAGTGTGACCCTTGAACCATCAACTACCTTCCTTTTGAAAACAGTTGTAAATGGACTTTTTTAGGGAATGCCATTGCTAATAATAGATTTCACAATGTGTAGTTCCATCACACTCCTTTTCATCTTGGCAATAACAATTACATATTTTTCAGGAATTTGGATTTCTATTTGGCCATATGTTGTTTTTGTACAACTCCTGTGGCTCAAAGGATGTATTACTGGATTATTGGATTCATAGACTGTACTACCAAACTCCTCTTGGTCTCTGTGCATAAGCCATGGGCATCAGTATTTTAAATGAATGGCTGCAGATGAACTGTATCATTTCCCCAGTTTGTGCAGATTTCCGTTGTTCTGCTAGGTTATGCCACCACTTTGTGTTAGAAAATATTTTAAGTATTTGCTTTGAAAAAAATTGCTGTACCACACCTAAGAAGCTAAGTCTATTCATGCCTAGGTGTTTACTATGTAATCTTCATGGGGCAGATCCTCTTCTGTCTGCTCAGAAAAGCTCTAGATTAGAGACTCATGGCATTTGTCAGTTACTACCACCAAGTTGTTTTCTTCCATCTCTGTTGTTCCAGATCTTGGCCTCTGTGATGCTAGTGCCCCAGTCTTGAGGTGCCTCATGAGGTTCTTGAGAGCATGGATTTGTCTTCAACAAGGAACAGAAGCCAGCATTGTGAAGTGTGTGGTGTGACATATTCATCCATGGGGAAGTTGAGGCACTGGGGGGGGGGTTAAGTAAATTGCCCAAAGTACACAGTGAGAATGAATCATAATTCAAACCAAAGGTTTTTACATCCAAAGCCCATGAGGTTTCTACTCTGCCTTGCTTCCCCTCTACAGGATTCACATTAACCCTGATTTAGAACTGAAAATACTCTTGCTAGAATTCTATCTACTCAAAGAAGATAGAACATCTTTTATCAGGACAGTTATAAAGACTTATTGTCACTTCTGAGAGCAGTTTTCTTTCTTTCTTTTTTTTTAGATTTTATTTATTTGTCAGAGACAGAGAAAGAGAATGAGCACAAGCAGGGGGAGCGGCAGGCAGAAGGAGAGTAGACTCCCCACTGAGCAGGGATCCCGATGTGGGTCTCCATCCCAGGACCCTGGGATCATGACCAGGGTTGAAGGCAGATGCTTCACCGACTGAGCCACAGGTGTCCTAAGAGCAGTTTTCATTTTATATGTTTTTTGGATTTAACTAGTTATATCCTTATGCCCTTAGTTCTCCCTTCTAGTACCTAGCAATATGCCCGGCACAATAATTGACTGATTACTTCTGCAAGGAATAAGTTTTTATGTGGAATCTTTAATATTACCTGAATATCAAATTTAGTTTTGCCTATTGTACCTGCTCCTTTTTTCTGGGAGGAAAATAATCAACTTAATCAGGGCTAGATTGGACGTTATATTCCTGAAACTATTACAGGAATAGCATTGATTGATGAAACAGAAATCCAGCGTATATAACTCTATAGCAGATATGAACTCCTAATAGCGTACTTTTTGGCTCCATTTTTCTTTCTTGGTCCCAAGTTATCTTTGGTTTTTCTTTCAGAGATGTATTAACCTTGGTTTATACTGACAGAGCTGTAATGTAGTTACCATTGATACCATTTTTCTTTTGCAATTAAAAAGCATTTTGCAAGCTAATGCATGTAGATGTGAATAGAATGAAAAACAAAGCTCTCTCCCATTTATGATCCTTAGTTCCTATCCCTAGAGGCAAGCATGTAAGTAGTTTCTTTACTGTCCTTTAGAAGTACCTAAAAGGTGTGTGTGTATGTGGCCATATATAGGCTCCTTCCCATACACACAAATAGAAGCTTACCAAATACAGTGTTGCTCCCTATTCCCTAACCCCACCCTTTTTTTGACTTAAACTGTTATGGAGATTGTCCCATATCAATATATAGCTCACTTTTTAAAGATTTATTAATGTTTATCTGTTGATAAAAGTAATACATTTTCATTGTAGGACACCTAATTACTCACTCTTGCTTCACCATCTGGGTGCAGCAATGTTGAAGCACTCACATTTCCAAGTTTCTGGAGTCTTCACAATTTTAAGCCAGCTGCTATGCCCAGATGTCCTCAGTAAAATGTTCTTTGTGGGGTGTTGAATGGACCCAGGATGTCTGGTTATCATGTTTCTTTTTTACATTCTTATTTTCCTTTATGGTCCCATAGGCATTTACAGTTAAAAGCCAAATAAACACCCATGTGGTGTATGTTATAGCTAGAAGTGGGTCAGTACTGGAAAGTGAACATGAGCATTTGGTACTAATTATCCAGATTTGGAATCCAGAAGCCTTTTGGGGCAATTCCAGCAGAGTAATGGGAAGTGAAAATGAATTGGGAGCATAAGCATGATGTATATGTCCCCTTGGGGGGGTCTGAGAGCTCAAAGGGAAAGTACATTCCTACACATCATCCCTCTGCTTGTTCAGGCAGCATTCTTACTGAATGCTGCCTGTCATCTGGGCACCGTGCAGGGGTCCCGGACCCCAGGTCCAGTGAGGTCAGACAGGCACAGAGGGCTGTCAGAGAGCTGAGGAGCAGATGGCTCACTCTGCAGGCAGGGTGGGTGGGCAGGATTTGAACCAGAAGCTGCAGAGAAACGGGAGAGCAAGCCTCTAGGACAGATCACCTCCACTTCCTTCCCCTGCAACAGGCCTTTCCCTCCAGCTTTGCTCCTGCCCCCCCGTGCTGCCCCCAACCAAGTTAGAAAAGATTTCTCAACTTTCCCCCACCATGTGCCTCTTCAGTGTTGAGTAAGTGGAAGTTATGCTAGGTAAATAACCTGACAACTGTGACACTTTGGGAATCATGATTAGCTCAAAGGTCTTCTTCCTTCACATTTCCCCTGCAGTCTCTTGCTTTCTCTTCTTCAACGATAAAATCACTTTGCTCAGACACCTAGTAATTACCTCAGTGAATTTCAGTTCTAGATCTCCACAAGATGTGGTGTAGCATCAGTTTATTTATATGGGACCTCTGACTGCTGGGCATATTTTATTAACTGCTTTAGACATAATGCAGTTTTGAGGTTTTACTAAAAATATCCTTTTTATTTTGGTCTGCAGTGCTCACTAAAATGTGTTATGTTCCTTTTAACATGATCGATGATGTTTTTTCTTTTCCTTTCTAGTTATGAAAAACCTCCTCCTGGGCTTATCAAGGTCAGTGTGAAGTTTGTGCCTTTGGTCATTCTCTTAGACATATTTGACTCAGTGCTCAGACTCAGTTACTTGTTATAAAAACCTGTTGCATAAGGTTTTGGACGCCCTTTTATGGTAACCCTGCTTCTCCCTGCAGATGCCAGTCAGTTCATACACTTTGGGCTTTCTGTGTCCAGCCTGTGCCTTTGTAGAAATGTAATCAGCCGTGTGTCTGTTCCCTAAGAGACGGTGGCAGCCCCACATGTTCATCAGCCATCGGTCCCCTTCTCCCGCCCTCTCTCTCTTGCTGTGGCTGCATCTTCTCACAGCTGTGCTCCTTCTCTGACTTGCTGCTGGTTTCCTGAGTATCATCAGCTCAGAGAACAGTAGTCTCTGAGGAGACTGGAAGGCCCTCTAGTCCAGCCCCTGGTGCAGGACACCCCCCCTAACCACCCCCGCCCCCTGCCCCCCCCCACCCCTGCTCCGCAACAGCACCTGGCCCTAGAGTCCAGTATCTGTGGGAGGGAGACTTAGAGGGCTCAGTGGAGGTCAGGACAACTTTCTGCTTGCTCACATTCAATGAAAAGAAAAGATTACAAAACCTTCTTTCATTATAAATGTAATATTCATGGGAGCTGAAAACAATCAGAAGGTAAAAAAAATAATAACAACAATAATACCTTAATTGTGTAATGAAGTTATTTGGTGGTGAAAGCACACTTCATAAATACAGCAGGTGCGAGATTGTAAAACATGACAGTGGCCTCCGAGGGATAATAATCTTTTTTAATTTAACATGTTATTTTTATTTCAGGAAATCTTGTTTAATTCTATACTTTGCTTCATTCCACAAGGCTTTTAAGGTAGCAGAAAAGTTTGTGATCTGAATCTAATTTTTGTGATCTAGAATCAGGATTTGGAGCTCACAATCATTCCTAAATGAACAATACTAGTAATATTTCTCTAAGAGTAGCTATGTCATTTTCATGATATGGTTCTTCTGGTACATTTATTTCTGGTTTTTCTGTCAGGTAGAATTTGTCTTTCTTTCTAGTACTTGAGAGGGTAACTTAGGAGGACATGGCGTGTCCAGCCCGTGAGAAAGGCAGGCAGGGCTGTGTCCTGAAGCAGGTGGGAAAGAATGCCGGTGCTTTTTTGCCATGTTGTGGACACGTTGTTTCCTTTTTTAGGAAGATGAGACTAAGCCAGAAGACTGTATACCAGATGTACCAGGCAACGAACATGCCAGGGAATTTCTGGCTCACGCACCAACGAAAGGACTCTGGATGCCACTGGGGAAAGAAGTCAAAGTTATGCAGTGTGAGCACGGGAGAGTTGCAAGTAACACTCCTCCATACACGCAAGTTATATACCACGATTTACAAAGCGCGTTTACTTCCTTTTTTTTTAATTTGTTCTCACCGCAGCCCTGTTAAGTCAAGGCACAATCTCTGTTTCATAGTTAAGGAAGCTGACCTGCATATGTTAGTGAGTGGTCCGAGGTAAGAGGTAGAGAGGAGCGTTGACTCCAGGGCTTCTGACTCCAAAGGCTGGGGTCATCCACAGGGACCATAGCTACCTTTGGAGTTCACTCTTCGGTACTATTCCAGTAACAAAAAGGATATTCTGTTGTAGAAATGCCATGAGGGACAAGGAATGTGTTGGAGGGCAGGTCCCTTTGGGTCTTGCATCATTCGCCCCCCATCAGTGGTGTTAAGGTTTCATCCATGTAACTTGGGAGGAGCTGTGAGCCCAGAGGGTGGGTCCAGAACAGGTGTGCTGTGCATGCACACCCCCACCCCACCCTGGCCGCAACACTTTCCGTCTAGCATAAGATGGTATTTGAAGAAAGGGTACTGCTTCAAATACTGCTTCTGTTTGTACAGAGATTCTTCATACACATAATTAAAATAGTTCCAGTCTTTTTTTCTCCGTTTCCACTTACAGCTCTTTTACTTGGTTATTTTGATATTTATATTCATATGTCTAAGATCATATATTGATTTTTCAGGTTTAGGTGTTATTTGTTGACACTGTACAATGGAAGAGGAGAATTTAGCTCTCTCCTGGTCCTACCACACACATGTACCTTTACTATATCACATCTTCCCCAAAATGTATTTTTCATAATTTTGGTTAGGTAAGTCTTTAATGTTTATTTTATTATGATTATATCCAGAGCTGAGTCATATAGTAAACTGATTACTTTTCCTTTCATGCATCCCGAAGAGTTTCCTCCTTTTCCCTGATTAATGGTTGTCTTGTTTTTGGTATTTGTGTGTGTGTGTGTTTTGTTCTGTTGTTATTGTTTTTGGTTTCCATGTACTGATTTCTTACTCAACCTCAAATTGTTCAAAGATTGAATCTTAAGACCTTCAAATGTGTTTTTTTAAATTAAATATTTTATTTATTTAACAGAGAGAGAGAAAGAGAAAGAGAGAGAGTACAAGCAGGGGGAGCTGCAGAGGGAGAGGGAGAAGCAGCCTCCCCGCTGAGCAAGGAGCCAGATGTGGGGCTGGATCCCAGGACCCGGGGATCACGACCCGAGCCGAAGGCAGATGCTTAACTGACTGAGCCACCCAGGTGCCCCAAGACCTTCAAATGCTTGAGGCATTCTATTAATTTCATCCTCTGAAAATGGTTGCTCCCATGCTTATCATCCAGGGATCTCCCTTCACCTTGTGTTTTGAATTGAATGTTTGTGTCCCTCAACAAATTCATATGTTGAAGCCCTAATATCCAATGGGATGATATTTGGAGATGGGGTCTTTGGGTTGTGATTAGGATTAGATGAAGTAATGAGGGTGGCTCTGATGATGTGATTAGTTCCTTTTAAGAAGAGACCAGAGAGCTTGCTCTCTCTCCACTGTGTGAGGACACACTGTGAGAGGACACAGGTGTCTGTCAGCCAGGAGAGTAATCATCAGAAAACAACACTGTTGGCACCCAGATCGTAGATTTCCAGCGTCCAGCACTGTGAGAAAATAAATTCCTGTTATGTAAGTGACCCAGTCTATATTTTGTTATGGGGGCCCTGAACTGAGACACAACCATTCTGCAGTTTCCCTTAGTTTCTTTCCTACGTTGAATCTCCTGTTTCCTGTATGTTGAGTCATCTTCTTTGTTGTTAAATATCTTGTTATGGTGGAGCCAAGACCATTAAATGGGGAAAGGACAGTCTTTTAAAAAAAAAAAACAGATATCCCCATACAAAAGAATGAAGTTGGACCTTTATCTAATACCATATACAAAATTTAACTCTAAGTGGATCAAAGACTTAAATGTTAAGACCTAAAACTATGAAATCTCTTAGAAGAAAATATATGGCAAAGTTGTACAGAATTGGATTTGGCAGTGATTTCTTGGATCAAACACCAAAGGTACAGGCAACAAAAAAATTGACAAATTTGACTTAATGAAAATTTCAAAATTTTGTGAATAAGAAACATGAGTAGAGTAAAAAGGCAGCTTTCAGAATGGGAGAAAATATTTGTAAATCATATCTGATAAGGGATTCTATCTAGAATATATAGAGAACTCCTAAAAACAATGAAGAAACAAACAACCTGATTAAAATTTGGTAAAGGACTTATTGAATAGACATTTCTCTAAAGAAGTTATATAGATATCCAGTAAGCCCATGAAATGATTCTCAGTGTCAGTAATCATTAGGGAAATACAAATCAAATCTACAGTGAAATTCCACCTCAGACCCATTAAGATGGCTACTATCAAAAAAACAGAATATAACAAATGTTGGCACATGTGCACAGCCTTCTAGCTTCCCAGGATTGTGTCAGAATTTTTTTTTTTTTTAAAGATTTTATTTATTTATTTGAGAGAGAGAGCATGAGAGGGTGGAGGGTCAGAGGGAGAAGCAGACTCCCCGCTGAGCAGGGAGCCCGATGTCGGACTCGATCCCAGGACTCCTGGATCATGACCTGAGCCGAAGGCAGCCGCCCAACCAACTGAGCCACCCAGGCACCCTGTGTCAGAATTTTTGAAAGCCCTCTATGGACATCTCATTCCCTGGATCTTTTACATTTTTAGTTGGGCTCCTGTTTATCCAATGATATCACAGTCATTGGCAACTGTGATGTTAAACAGTTGCAGGTGATTGTTTTCAAGAACTATCCTGAGGGATTGGGCTTTTCCTGTAAACTATGACTGGTTACACAGAAACAACACCCTGTCAGTGTGGCTCTATCCTCTGAGATTAGGGTTTTTTGGGGGGCTCAAAACCTGGTCTTACCCTATTGAGGTCGCAGGACTGTTGCTTTTCATAGCTGTCATGGTTGCAAGGCTGTTGGTTTTTAAGATTATTATGGAAATCAGGAGAGAGGGCTGGGAGTAGGTCTGGTTAAAATGCCAGGAATCCTGCTGTTCTTATCAAGCTTCACTAGCTTTTCTTGAATTAATGCTCCTCAGATTGTGGCAAACCTTTGGTTAATTTCAAGAGTTTCAAATAAGTTGATTTAGGCAAGTTTATGACTATTTTCAGTGCTTTTATGAAGGTTGTCACTTGGCCATTCTTGAAGAGCTTCCTGGCTTATTCCTTTTGAAAAGAATCCTCTTCACTGTCATTTTTATGGGATGTCAGGAAGGGAATGAAAGCAAGTAAATGTGTTTAGTAGTCATCTTACTCAGAAGTCTACAGCTTTTCTTTTTTTTTTTTAAGTTTGAAGACCACGGTTCTGTTTTATGAGGTGGTTACTTATATTTCAATTACCATTTTTTAAAAAATACTCATTTATTTGTTTTAGAGAGAGGGAGTGAGCATGCTTGAGTTGGGGAAGAGGCAGAGGGAGATACTCTTTTTTTTTTTTTTTTTTAGATTTTATTTATTTATTCATGAGAGACAGAGGGAGAGAGAGAGAGAGAGAAGCAGAGGGAGAAGCAGGCTCCCAAGGAGCAGGGAGCCCGACGCGGGACTCGATCCCAGGACCCCGGGATCATGACCTGAGCCGAAGGCAGACGCTTAACCATCTGAGCCACCCAGGCGCCCGAGGGAGACACTCTTGAAGCAGACTACCTGCTGAGCCTGGAGCCCTACCTGGGGATTGATCTCATGACCTATGAGTTCATGACCTGAGCCAAAACCAGGGGTTGGATGCTTAACAGACTGTGCCATCCACATGCCCCCATTTCAATTACCATTTTATAGTTATTTGCATTGACTTGGAAAATAAGTGTCTGGGTTGGGACCAGAGCCAGTTTTACTCGTGATTTTCAAGGGCCTGCAGGGGAAACAATGATGTGTTGATAATGGTTGTATGATTTTGTGAAATTTGCCAAGGCAAGATATTTTTTTTCCTAAAGAGCCCCCCACCCCCATAATTTAAACTCAGGCCCCACAAAATTTTGACTTATCCCAAATGGGATAAAAGACACATGTACATCCTTTCATTGATTTTATTGATTATAGTGTTATCTAGAACAGTGGTTCCAATATGTTTAATATGTTTATAAATCACCAATTAATCTTTTAAAATTTTGGTATGTTTCAGTATTTCTGTGATGGGTCTAACACTATGCATTTCTAACAATCTCCCATGTGTTGCTGATTTTGCTTGCCCATGACCACATTTTGAATAGCAAGAATCACCTTTCCTTTAACGGTAACAGAATTTTGAACACAAAGAACTTTGGTTTGAAGGAGTATAATCCTTCTTTCCTGAACTTTAAATGTTTGGGGAGTTCAAGACAGGGACAGCTCAGAGGCAGTCAATAAAGTATCTCCAAACTTCATTCTTTTTCAATGGTTTCCTGCATCCAGCCCTCAAAATTAAAAAGGAAAGCATCCCTTCTCTTTCACTTCATACTTTGAGTAGCTGCCAGCATGGGGCAACCCTGGCTGATCTTACCCACTCTTCCTGCTTCCTGACTTTCTTGGTTGGAGTTCCTTAATGTTCAAACACAGGGTCTTACTTAGCTCACCACTCATTTGACTTCCTGATTTGCCTCAAATCCAAATGGTTCTGAGAGGACGAAAGCAGGTGAGAGAAGTAACGAGGGTCTCACCCATCCCTGCTTTGTTCACCACTTCATTTTTCCCACGTCAGCATCTGATGCCAAGTCTGTAGTCACTGAAATTCCATGAAGGTGCATGTTTCCCTCTTTTGCCCTGGAATGTGTGCATGCATTTTCCTGTTATGTCTCCTTCCAGTTCCTCATCAGGGCCGTCTGCTTCTTATAATAAACCTTTTTACAAAGGACAGTTCCCTATTGAGCAGGTGAGGCTATATTAGAGTGCTAATGGAATTAACATTTTAAGATAATTTGTGATTTGTTTTAATTAAAGGTGAGGGATTTTTTGCAGTAGTTGACTCAATCAGAGAAAGAAGCTATTTGCTCAAGTGTCTAAAATTGTAAATGACAATCACAGTCTCTTGATGAATAGAAGAGACCTCCTCTGAAAAATATAATAAGCTACAGCCTAAAAACAATTTCATTTTTTATAGTACTTTTACATTGGATTGCTTAATACCTATTGCTTGGGGAAGCAGTTAGTTTCCCTTTATTTTCTAGGATCTTACATGGTTTATCCACTCATTGCATTTGCTTTTAGAATTGGAGTTTAATGAAGAAAAACTTTAGTATGATATACTGATGCTTCATCTTCATTAAATGAAATTGTTATCTGACAGAGATATTTCCTTTTTTCTTTGTTTTTAGGTTGGCGTTGTAAACGGTATGGTCACCGAACAGGCGACAAAGAATGCCCTTTTTTTATCAAAGGCAACCAAAAGTTAGAACAGTTCAGAGTAGTAAGTAGAACCCCACCTTGCCAATTTACATTTTTCAGAAATAATGAATATTAATGAAACAGGCAGTAATCCGTGAACTGGAAGTTCACATAAAATACATTCTCAGAAGCTTTTTGGCCAGAGTATCTGGTGTTGACTACATCTCTTCTTAAATTACATTTGTGTGACAGTTACAACAAAAAACTAACTTTTTATTAAAGTGTTTTTTGTTTATACCTTGAGAATAGTGATTCTTTTTCTAAAGCAGACTTTATTTATTCAATCACTTGTTTTAACTTATATAAAAAGTCATGTTTCATAACTAAAATTAGGGTTTAGTTTCCCAGTCTTTATTTTTATTTATTTATTTATTTTTTAAAGATTTTATTTATTTGTTTGACAGAGACAGCAAGAGAGGGAACACAAGCAGAGGGGCGTGGGAGAGGGAGAAGCAGGCTTCCCGCGGAGCGCCACCTAGGCACCCCAGTTTCCCAGTCTTTAAAGACAGTCTTAAATTATAAGCTAGAGGTGTGTATATAAATTATATATGGTCTTCAGTTGACAGTAAAATAGATATATCATTCCCTCACTTTATTTTAATAGAGTCTTCTCCTAAAAGTGTTAATTTACCACTCAGTAACTTCTGCCAAGTGAAATATGCCACTGTCTAGATGTAGTGAGGTCATCAGCATATATCAAACTGGGGCCAACATTCACTAAAATTTTTAAGACATTTAATACATTGTGGGGCGCCTGGGTGTTTCATTTCATTAAGCGTATGGCTTTGGCTCAAGTCGTGATCCCAGGGTCCTGGCATTGAGCCCCACATCCAGCTCCCTGCTCAGTGGGGAGTCTGCTTCTCCCTCTCCTTCTGCCTCCCCCCTGCTCATGCTCCCTCTCTCTCAAATAAATAAAATCTTTTTTAAAAAAGACATTTAAACCATTGTGGCTTTATTTTATTTTTTTATTTTTTTAAGATTTTTAATTTATTTTTTGACAGAGAGAGACACAGTGAGAGAGGGAACACAAGCAGGGGGAGTGGGAGAGGGAGAAGCAGGCTCCCTGCTCTGCAGGGGCTCGATCCCAGGACTCTGGGATCATGACCTGAGCCGAAGGCAGACGCTTAACGACTGAGCCATGCAGGTGCCCCATTGTGGCTTTATTTTAATAATCTGAATTAATATTTTTGATCATTCATTCCACTTCTAGGTGGAATGTCAGTTTTTACAGATATTATATGAAATATAGTTTGGTGATAAATCTCAAAAACTTTGAAGATATTCATTTTTTTTTTTTGGCTCAGAAATCCCACTTAAGGAATTTAAGGATATAAGAAAACATCAATATATACACAAGTATTTATGAATAAGGATATATATATATAAGGATAACTCTTATATCCAGAAACAATGGAAACTAAAGAAAAATGGGAAACTTAATAGTCCAACATATGAACATCAATTTCTGTAGCATGCAAATTATTTAGTCATTAGAAATTATTATTTATATTTTTTGAGATTTTATGTTTAAGTAATCTCTACACCCAACCAGGGGCTTGAACTCACAACCCTGAGATCAAGAGTCTTATGCTGTACTGACTGAGCCAGCCAGATACCCCAGGAATTACGTTTTAGAAGACATTATGTCAGGCTCCTGGTTGGCTCAGTTGGTTAAGCGTCTGCCTTGGGCTCAGGTCATGATCCTGGAGTCCCGGGATCAAGTCCCACATCGGGCTCCCTACTCAGTGGGGAGTCTGCTACTCTCTCCGCCCTTCACCCCGCTCATGCTCTCTCTCGCTCCCTCTCAAATAAATAAAATCTTAAAAAAAAAGACCTAATGTCATGGGAAAATGTTCATGAAGACATAAGTGAAAAACAATAGAGTTGTATATATAGGAGGATTATAGTTTTTCATTAGTTACTAATAATGATTGAAAGAAAGAGATCAAATGTTAATAGTAATTATCCCCAGGTAGGGAGGTAATAGGGCTTTTTAATTTTTTTTATTTTTTAAAGATTTTATTTATTTGACAGAGGGAGAGACAGCGAGAGAGACAACACAAGCAGGGGGAGTGGGAGAGGGAGAAGCAGGCTTCCCATGGAGCAGGGAGCCTGATGTAGGGCTCGATCCCAGGGCCCTGGGAGCATGACCTGAGCCAAAGGCAGACGCTTAACGACTGAGCCACCCAGGCGCCCAACAGGGCTTTTTTAAAGATTTATTTATTTTCAAGAGAGAGAAAGAGAGTGTGTGTGCATGTGCACACAAGTTGGGGGAGGGACAGGGAGAGAATCTTCAAGCAGACTCCCTGCTGAGTGCGGAGCCCAATGTGGGGCTCAGTCTCATAACCCATGAGGTCATGACCTGAGTGGAAACCAAGAGTTGGACACCCAACTGACTGAGCCACCCAAGTGCCCCAGTAGGTTTTTGTTTGTTTTGCGGGGTTTGAACTCACAACCTTGAGATCAAGATCCGAGCTGAGATCTAGAGTTGGACACTTAATCAGCTGAGCCCCCCCAGGTACCCCAGTTGTTTTTCTTTTTTTTCTTCTTTTTTTTAAAGATTTTTTAAATTCATTTATTTGACAGAGACACAGCGAGAGAGGGAACACAAGCAGGGGGAGTGGGAGAGGGAGAAGCAGGTTTCCTGCCGAGCAGGGAGTCCGATGTGGGGCTCTATCCCAGGGCCCTGGGATCATGACCTGAGCCAAAGGCAGACACTTAACCACTGAGCCACCCAGGTGCCCCCCCCACTTGTTTTTCTTAATACTGTCTCTTGGTCATCCTTCCAAATAGAACAAAGAAAATTACCTCAATATTTCTACCTTGAATAGTATTTTATGATTCTGCCATGGTTTATGTTCTTACAAAGGATATTTAAATTATAATCTATATTTTTCTAATTAGAAAATCCTTTGTTACAGTCTCAATGGGTTTGCAGTGATGGTAACCCTTAGGAAGGATTAGAATATGTTAAATATGAAATTATACCAAATAGGAAAAAAAACTGGTTTCAGTGAAATATGGATTTAATTTTTATTTAACTGATAGTCCATGGTTCCTAACACAACCTTAACCTTTTCTCATTCTCAAGGCACATGAAGATCCCATGTATGACATCATACGAGAGAATAAAAGACATGAAAAGGATGTAAGGTGAGATGGTCCTGGTGATAACGATACCCTTTTAAAGTCTGAAATTATATAAAGTTGGAAACACCCATTCCGGTATTAGATGAGTGGTCTGGTAACTATGGTACTTCCAATTGTGAACTGTTTGGAAGGCAGGAGTCCTAACAGGAAAGGCCAGTGGGTGGCAGGCCAGCCTCATTCCACTTGAGTTAGTAGTGGCCTTGGTCCTGCCTGCTCACACCACGGATAGTTGATGTTGGCAAGTGTAACTTGGTTTATCTTCTCCAATGTCTTTATGGATCTGAGCTATTCTTAAAAATTATCCTTAGACATGAATGAAGATAGGATGAAGAAAGAGGAGGGTTTGTTTTTCTCAAACTGGTTCCATGGAGTTCTAATTGTTAAGGAGGTAGATGACCTAGTATGAACTTGAGTGGTTGTGGGTGGTTGGGGAGGTGATGAAGGAGAGGCGGCATCTATTCGAAGTTATGTAGTAAGGACTGGAGAAACATGCAGAAATACTTTGGACAGTGAAAAGAATACAGAATGGCTTGTACACTGGGTACAGTCCTGTCAAAGAGGCACGGGTGTGGACAAGAATGGGGAAAACATGCAGAAATAAAAATAAGTACTGTCTGCAGTAAGGTGGTTATGATGTTTTTTACCCTCACTGCTGCTTTTATATCATTTTTATCTACCTTTTTTTCGAGTTAAATATGGTTCTTTGGTTAATCTTCTATGTTTAGGATACAGCAGTTGAAACAGTTACTGGAGGATTCTACATCCGGTGAGAATGGGAGCAGCTCCAGTTCCTCGGAATGTAAAGAGAAACACAAGAAAAAGAAGAAGAAAGAAAAGCATAAGAAGAGGAAGAAAGAAAAGAAGAAGAAGAAACGAAAGTATAAGTCTTCCAAGTCGAATGAGAGTTCAGACTCGGACTGACAACAACTTGACTTGTTCCACATTCTCTTCTCCCAAATCAGACACTGTGGCCAAAGACCAGAGGATGTGGAATCGGGGAGGACTAGGAGAGAGCCGCCTAGAGAGCAGGGTATTTGGTGTCACGTGTGTGAATTCTCACCTGCCTTCCAGCAAAGATGTGACCCCAGGAGGGTGAGTTGTACTTTCCCAGGCACTAGGTCTGGACAGCGGCTGATTTCAGGCAGGAAAGCTTTGTTCAATGACAATATGCAAGAATAATACAGATGATTCTCAAACTTATGGAGCAAGAAAATCACCTGGGGTGGTTGTTAAAACACATTTCTGTGTCTTAACTCCTAGAATTTTAGAATTTGATTTACTAGGTCTGGAGTGGACTGGAGTATTTGCAGTTGTGACAACTGTCCAAATGATGCTGACACTGTTGGTCTGGGGGCCAGACTTGGAGAACCACTGCTCTAAATGTTAAACTTCTTCCTGAAGCCTTCCTCCACTTCCTGCTTTAATTGAAATCTTGTGGGGCACCTGGGTGGCTCAGTCGGTTAAGTGTCTGCCTTTGGCTCAGTTCATGATCTCAGGGTTCTGGGATCAAGTCCCTCATCAGGCTCCCTGCTTAGCGGGGAGCCTGCTTCTCCCTCTCCCTCGCACCTACTCATGCTCTCTCACTCGCTTTCTCTCTCTCAAATAAATAAAATCTTTAAAAAAAAGAAAGAAAAATCCTGCCATCCACTGCAACCCTTGCAAGTTAATTCTTGTCTCTTCTCTCTCACTCCAGGTTTCTCTGTCTACTGTTTCTGGCCTAGGTTCCGTGGTCCTTTATTTCAGTCTGTCATATCACTTGACCCGTAGTCCTTTTGCCCAGTTTACCCAGAATAACCTCAAACTAACCTCTTCCTCCTCTGCTCCAACTCCCAGACCGCTGAGCCTATAAAGCTGATCAAAGTTCTTTATCCTAAAATCTCTCCTTTCAGACTCAGTACTCTCCAGTCCTATTTAGGAAAGGAAGAGAAGTCACCAGACCTCCTTCTACCAAGGTATCTATCAACCTGTCACTGTGGTTGTGGTAGGCAGTTATAAAATAGCCTCTAAGACTTTTGCCCAAATCTGTAGAACTGTTACTGTAATGGATTTTACTCCCATGATTAGATTATAATACACAGTTGACCTTTTCAAAGGGTGCAGGGGTGTAAGGCGTGGCCTCTTACCCCAGTTGAGACAACTCTTCAGGATCATTGCAGCTCAGGAAGTCCTGGTGGGATTTTGGCTAAGGTCTTTGTTGTTACTGTATCACATCCATACTTCTTCCCTATGCTTAATCATGCTTTCTTTGCCCCTTCAGAGATTTTATTCCCTGTAGCACTCCCCCCTAAATTTCCTGCACACAAATCTTCATGTCAGAGTCTGACCCTGAGGAACTCAGTGTGCCAGGGGGTACAATAACTGCTTGGGAAAATGAAAGGGAAGGTGTTGTTGGGATGTACCCTTCATCTTGGACTTATTTCCAAACTTATGCTTGACTTCTTATCTAGTCTCTAGAATAGAGGTAAGACTTTGGGAAGGATTACAAAGCAGGCACAGTGTTCATTGGACCAGTCCTCTTTTTGTGCTTACTCTTCCATATACCGGCATTACCATCTTCCCGGTAGCCAGAAAGCCCCAGTTGTGGTCCATTTAAGTGCCTTGAGTTAGTCCACCCACAACACTTGAAACTCATTTCACAGGTGTAAAAAAGGTGATCAGATTCAACTCATACTAACACATTAATGAAAAGCCACACTCTTTAATCTTCTCATGGGGATTTATAGGTAAATGAATCAGATTGTTGGAATTTTTTTTTTTTTTTTAAGATTTTATTTATTTATTTGAGAGAGAGAGAGAGCACATGAGAGGGGGGAGGGTCAGAGGGAGAAGCAGACTCCCCGCCGAGCCCGATACGGGACTCGATCCCAGGACTCCAGGATCATGACCTGAGCCGAAGGCAGTTGCCCAACCAACTGAGCCAGCCAGGCGCCCCAGATTGTTGGAATTTGAATGAATCAGACTTGTTAGTGGGGAGTTAAGAGTAGTGGAATGCCTTCCTGGTTCCCAGATAAGCAAGGACATTGGATTATATGGACTCAAGTCTTCCTTATTGTTCAGTTACTCCAGCTAATGCATTCCTACCTCAGCCTTCCCACTTCAGTTATGTTCTGGGCTTGGAATGATGGAACAGTGACAAGGCCAAAACTGTTCATCTAAATTGACACTAAGCCATTCATTCACAAATCTTTGAGGGCATATGATGTGCTAGGCTCTATACTAACTATTCCGTGGAGCTACTATAGCCCTAAGGAATACATGGTCTCAAGGGTGAAAACGTTATAACTCTCCTGTCATGTCATGGGCTACGAAAGTGAAAATGCAGGTGTTACTAAAACACACAGGAGAGTCCCATACTCCAGCCATGGATGGGGATAGGCATCACAGATATTTTCTTAGAGTATCTACCCCATCTTTTAGGTAGGGGTTAGGAGGGAGATAAGTCACAAACCTTATTATAAGACCAGCTCTAGAAACCCTATTACCTTTTGCTTAACTTTTTCCATCTCATCCGAAAACATACAGTGCTATCACTTTGTACCATCTCCTTAACCCATCTGGAGAGTTAACTTTGTTACCACAGGAAGTTAAAAATAGTTAAAAAATACAAAAAGAGAGTAAACAAATATAGTTAACTCATCACTGGGCAACTTAGAAGCAACACTGAGTGAACCCATCCATAGGTATCAAAATATTGTTCATAGGAAGCAACCCTAACCTTTCCACATCTGCCCTGTTCTTACAAATACCCTTAAAGAGCCTTCTTCCACATATAAACATTTTGGCACCTAGTCACAGATTTAACCTGTACCATTTATTGGGAAAACACTGGTTCCACAAATTGACCATATAGGTTGTAGGTTCTGAGTATAAGGAGCTTTTGTCTCCCTTGTTTCTATGAGTGTACACTGGAAGTAAGTAACATATACTACAACCCACCAATGGACATACTGATCAGTGGAGCTACTATAAGCCTCATTTCCATTTATAAAAAAATAAATAAGGTACTGTATCATCAGGGTAGTTCCTGTTTATGGAGAATCCTTCATCTCTTTATTGTCCTCAACTCACCATCCTTTTCCCCATATCTAAAGTTCCCCTGGAGATTACAAGACAGTAATACACCTGGCAGAAGTATTCATGAATGACCCAACTCTATTGGTGGTGGTACCAGTGATGTGGCCATTTTGAGAGGGGAAGAGAATGCTTGAGAATCACACACGTATGCAATTCAATTTATTTGCTGTTTGGTTCTTTTAATTCCAAAGGCTTTGCAATGTCATTTTCTTTTTGTTGGTATAATCGCTTTCTTAGTTCAAATCAAGGGACGATGCTGTGTTCTAAGCCATCATGACGATGTACTATTTAGCTCTTCTATGTAGCTGGAACACAGCAATTTGTTTCCTGTGAAATAACAGCAGAATAAAAGAGTTCCTTAAATTAGCTGTATAACAAACTGAAGATATACAGAGAATCATGACTAATATCTTTAGCTTTCATCTTTAGGATAAAGTTAAAGGTCTTAACATTTTGCCTGAGCATGATTATCTGTCTTTTCTTATGACCACTGTAGGGCAGGAATGGCCTTGAGAGGACCAAAACCCACTTGCTCCCTGACACTCCAGGCCTAGGGGGTTGTAGGTGTGGCAGGGATACTCAACCCCAAGTGTGAAGAGAAGCCTGTCATGCTACTAAGCCCCTTAAGGGAGACCCTGAACTTCCAGTACCCAGCTCTCCCAGCTTTAACCTGGGACACTTTGATAGGCCACCAGGATAAGTCACAAAATCCCATATAACCCACAATAGACTACCATTAACAGCCCTGGGAATTAAATGTGGAAAATCAGCATAAAAATGACATTCCACAGGACTGAAAGGCTTTGGCTCCAATCTACTTGTAAGTGAGGATCTATAGATCTACAGGTCTATAACCCAGTCAGAATGCTGCCATTTTTCACTGCCTACAAGCAGTGTTCTGGAGGGCAGAACACGCACTGAGTAGGAAACCCCAAACAAAGCCCTAAAAGCCATCATGAGACACCCAAATTGGACACAGGATAGATACCAACCTCTGTACCTGCTGTGTATTTCCTAAACTTTACAGCATCTGCCCTGAATCTGTTTGAAACTTTGTAAGGTACCTTGGTTTTCCAACTCTTACAGTTACCTGACGGAAGAAGTGATTCGTACATTAAATAACCCAAGTTACTTAAAAAACAAAGGGAAAAACAAAGCAAGAACACACCCTTCATGAAAAAAATCTCTTGTTCAAGATACTATTCTGTATCATTCTACAGTCCTTGGCAGAAAAAAAAAAATCAAAATAATAGACACAGTGAGACAATTCGGCCTGAAAATTATCATCTTAACTGTGTAACCAAGAGTAAATTAAAGTTATCTTCTTCACAGGGCTGTGATAGGGTGGAAAAAACTGATTCCTACACACTGATGGGAAATGACAACAGAGGCAAATGAGACTTTGAGAAGACTAAAGGTAAGATGGACAGTGTTTTGGTTTAGAAACTAAGACTGGAACTTAATTAAATTTCCCCGGGGGCCATTATGCATCCCATTCATCACTTATCCACTTCCTTTTTGCACCCCAGGTCTAATCTTCCCCCGGGCTGTACTTTGGGCCCATCCCACTCATTTCAGCCCCCTCCCTAAACATAGGGTGGTCCAAACTCAAGCTTCAACCAGGTGTGCATGATCTGCTAGTCCAGTCCTCCCACTGACAACCACACAGTAAAGCAAAAACAATTTCCCTTCCCAAGTTTACTTTTCCATGGATGTTATCCTTTTCTCTAGGTATTCAAGTTCAAACCCCAGCCTTTTTTTCTTAAAAAATCAATTTTGTTAATGGATTCTCTGAGATTGCATATCTTTTACTCCCATGTGAGTTAGGACCCTCATCACTTTATATCCAATGTTCAGTTAAACTGACTTTATACAGGGATTTCATCCATACAGACAGGCTTCAAATTCTTCCTACACTGTACTGCCAGCTAAAGATGCCTAGAACACATTTCTTCCTTTCTCTATTCAGTTTGCTTTTGGCACCTCCTTCTTGCCTACAGGACAAAAATCTAAAAAGGAAAATTTCTACTATTTTAGCCTATTCTGCTCAGACCCACTTTCCCAACTCATCACAGGTCTCCCCTCTGGCTAGCTGTTCTCAGGCTCAATCCCTGGAACACACTTGACCTGCCCTGGCTGCCCATTTGATCCCATGCTACTATCTCCATTCTCACTCCAAACCACAGCCCCCAAATTTGTATCAAAATTCACCACCTCCACATGGACTGCCCTTTCTCAGCAACTCCATCTAGATCTAGGTCCATGACTCTTTTCTCTCTCAGCGCCCCTGTCCTTTACCACCACCCAGCTCTCCATCATCTCCTACAGCTCTTTGTTTCAAATTACATTACAGTTTCCTAGAATGCAGGACCTCAAACCTGGGATCTCTGCCAATCCTACAAACATGGGCACCTACAGTTGTTGAAGAACAAACTTTCAAAATGGAGAAATACTACTGATTTGTGACTGCCTTTGCATCCAGGACCCAGTATGGAACCACCACAGACACCCACACAGGATGAGCCTGTTAGTCACTTACATTCCCAGGCCTTGTGAGAGGCTCTCTTGGACTCTAGTCCCTCCTGCATGGCCATGGGACATTCCCCTCGGAACCTGCCATTCTGTCCCGTCACTTCGCATACCATGGGGATGCTCTCGTATTCTCCAAGCTTTAACCTGTACTTATTTCTGGTGGGCCACACAATAAGTTGGGGAGGGAGAGAGCACTCAGGTGGCAGCCTGATGATCCTGCCAGCCTCACGATAAATCCTTCCTTTGGAAGATGTCACAGGGCCCAGGGGACTAACTTCTTCAAAGAGGCATTCTGTCTCATACATTTCAGCTTCAGCTTCCTCTTCCAACTCACAGTCTTCTGAATCCTTGGGAAGTACAGTGTTCAAGGCAGCATTTTTCTTCAATAAGTAGACTGTGTTCCCGCTTGAGAAGTTGCTCAGGGATTTCTGCTTCCTGCCTTTCACAGTTTTTTTAATCTTTGCACACTTTTTGAAGTTCTCATGATCCTCCTCCTCAGTCTCATCATTCATGGTCATTTCTTCTTCATCTGTTTTCAACTTCCCATTCCTGATGGTCTTCCATGATCCCTTAGTTTTGCAGTCTGGTGATGACTCTTCATCTTTGCAAGGCATTTGCTCAGGGGATTTCTCCAGCTCTGCATCCTGCCACCAGCTCCTATCACACTGAATCCCTTCATCCACCCCCCTGCTGTTCATCTGGGCCAACCAGGCAGGGCGAGGAACATACTTTGAATGGCTGTCCCTCTCTACCACCTCATCCAGTTCCCCACACCTGACTGCCTCTTCTGTTGGCTTTCTGCTTTCTAGTGAGGACTCAGGAGATTTCCCGTGCTCTGCATCCTGCCAGTGGCTCATATCACATTGAATGCCTTCAGTGACGTGGCTGAACTGGGCCAGGGAGGGAGGGGGAAGGACATAATTCTCAGCGTAGCTGTTGCTCTCTACCACTTCACCTTCGTCCACGTTCACAGCGAAGCCAGGGCCCCCACTACCATTGTCTGGCATGCTTTCCCCAAAGCTAATGGGACTCCGGGATTTGGACTCTAGGCTCAGGTCCTCAACGGCTCTATTGCTGGAACAGACTGGCCTTTCCTGCTGGAGCTTATTGCTATCTCCAGAAGACTGGCACAGATTGGAGTTCAGGGTATCCTGGACTTCATCTTTGTCTTTCGCTTCATCTGGAGAGGACAGGAATTGGGGAACAGATGCATAGCCTTTTTCTTTACCCAAGTTCATGTCCATAATGGAGCCCAACTTTACCACCTCATCACGTCTTACATCATGACACTGCTCCGACCAGATAGTGCTTTCTTCATCTTTACACGTAATGCCACCTGCACCCTCGTGACGCTTACGAAGCACACTTCTACTCTCACGAGAACTCTGTGACATCCCACCGTGCTGCACCATGATGTCTGGCATGGCTTTACCATAAGCTAGGTCATACAAACGGATAGTTTCCTTCAAAGTCTTCCAGAACTGTGTCACAGGGGATCCTTTGCTCTGTTCTAGCCTCATTTTCCCTTTCCCAGATGCATAGTTTACTTGAGGTGATGTTCTATACACAGTGTTAAGAGAAGGGCTCTCACCATGTAGCTGCTGCTTTTGGGCAACAGATGAAAAAACCCCATCTGTTGGTTCAGGAATGTGGTCAGTTTCTGTGTCAATATTAGAAGTCGGGATACTGGTCACCATACCACCTTCTGAGTGGGTGTCTTGTTTCCGAGTCCGGTTTGCAGCCTGATGAGGTTCAGTCTGAGTCTCTTTCGTCTTCGTTTTCTTTCCATAGCCACTACACTGCCGGAACTGTGCTGTGTTACAAAACACGGGTCTTCGGTTAAGCGCAGTGGGCAACGGGGACTGAGGGATGAGGAAGCCAGGAGACTCACTGAGTACCACTGAATATGGGAAATACAGACTTCCATTTCTGAAACCTAGGAAGAGAACACGGTAGTTAGCCACTCTGTCTCCCACAGCCAGTCACAACATTCAGCCAGTATGCAGTCATGTGGCCACACCGATTGGTAAAATACGCAGTTTCTTCCATGCCAGTTGGTAGCTACTGGCCCCCACTTCTCCCTGGATATCCTCAAGGATTCGAGAAGGGAATGTGCAGTGCCCAGAACGGTGGGACCTCCAGAACCCTCCTTCACCACGAGAGCAAGCATCTGTCTGATGGGTTGGTTGCCAGGCCATCAGATAGTCAGCATATTATGAATCACCCCTACTTAATAGTGACACCCACCAAGCATAATTCAGGATTGTTGTGGCTGAGGTAAGAATAATTGTGTCAGCTCTGATAGAGCAAGCCTTTCTAAACCTGTTCATTCAGCACTCTTCACACACACACACACACACACACACACATACACACCTTCTCCCATTTTCCTCTCTTTAGGGGTAAACAGGATAATGGTGCCAATAATGCCAGAAACACTACTGTCATACATATTCACATGGGGGAAGGCATTTGATTGTGCAAGACAGATTTATACAACTGATAAATGAAGTTAAGATAAAACTTCTACCTTGCATATAAAAGCAATAATTACATTCAGATCAGTGTTCATCAGGCAATTTACTCAATATTGAGGTTGATCTTATGAACTCAATTTCACTGTTTAAGACTGCATCAAAATGCCTCTTGGGCCTGGCCTAATGTATTTATACATAAAAGTATATGGGTTTCTTTCTTTATAGAAAGGAAGCAGACAGGTCTCAGCTTGGACTTCAACATTGTCTGCAAAGGTTAGAAGCCAACAGAATGAAGTTCATGAGTCAGATAACTTCCTACCATACATGTTGTACTGTGTCATACAATGGACCAAAATACCTTAATGTAGCTCCCTGCCACTAGCATCCATCCCAGGTCCCTATTCAACTACTCACTGCAGAAACATAGGTGTTAGAGTTGTTATTTTGTCCCTCACTAATCAGCAAAATCTATGGCTACTCTTTGTAATACCTTCCCTCTTGTGCTACCGTGCACAGGACTTTAAGTCATCTCCATGTTTTTACCTCAGTAACTACTACTAGTAACTTCCTTGACCCATCTCCCTGACATTCACAGGTCTGTAATCCATATTAGTTCCAGAATTTTCCTTCCTTCCTTCCTTTCTCCCTCCCTCCCTCCTTTTGTTGGACGTAATCTCTACACCCATATGGGGCTCGAACTCGCAACCCTAAGATCAAGTCGGATGCTCTCCCACCTGAGCCAGCCAGGCACTCCCAGAATGATCTCTCTGACTCATATGTGACCCCTCACTTGAGAGACAGTATTTGAAGTATTGTCACTGCCAGTCAGGAAATGAGGAACAATGACCACATTCCTTAGGATGCCATAAAAGCCCTCATTATTCTGATTTGTCACCCTATCATCTCACTCTCCCACTAAGCCTATATGCTCTAGCCATATGTGGGTTCCTTCACAGGCTAACTTCTCTTCACTTTTCTGGGACATCCTCCTTCCCTACTTCTTCCACTGCTACCAAAACCTTTTGTTTTTTAAGTGGAAATCTTGCCATTTGTGACAATAGATGGACCTTGAGGGCACAGTCCTAAGCTGGACAGAGAAAGACAAATACCGTATCATCCCACTTCTATGTAAAATCTACAAAGGATTAACTCAGAAACAGTAGAATAGTGGTATATCAGGGACTGGGCGGTGGGGTTAATGGGGAAATGTTGGCCAAAGGCAAAAGAAAACTAATTCATCTTGTTATACAAAGGAGGGTACTGAGGCAAAGAGAATTTAATATTGATTCAAAATCAGCCGATTTAGGGGCGCCTGGGTGGCTCAGTCGGTTAAGCATCTGCCTTGGTCATGAAGCCAGGTTCCTGGGTTCAAGCCCCACATCAGGCTCCTTGCTCCATAGGGAGCCTGCTTCTCCCTCTGCCTGCTGCTCCCCCTGCTTGTGCTCTCTCTCTCTCTTTCTCAAATAAATAAATGAATTAATAAATCTAAAAAAATTTAAAAAACCCCCCAAAATCAGCCTATTTATAAAAGCATGAATTGGCCCTCTATTTCAGTTGTACAACTATGTGTACTGCATGTCTAATTAATGTTTAAAGCTGGTAGAGTTTCTAATTGTATGTAAGAAAAATATGGAAGAAGTTTGGAAGTCACTTACTCTGAACAAAGTAAAAAGCTCAACTGAAAAATCAAGAATTTTTCCCAGATACTTCACAGCAGTAGGTTACAGGGCAAAGTGCTATCCCCAGTGTTGGAGAGATACGTGAATGTAGACAAGCACAACTTACAGGAGCAGAAACCCAAGAGATAAAAATTCCATGGGAACTAGTAGTAGGGTAGGGAAACCTGAACTGTTATTGACAATTTGCAGGCTCAGGATGAATAAATCTGAGAGTTAAAAACTTCAGGGGGACCCATTCATAAGGAACCCTCCCCCCGCACTTTGTTTTGAGATTTATCTATAGTAGCTCAGCCAGTTTCTTACAGTAAATCTAGGAAAGAAATCCCACAGGAAGAGTGGGGAAGAAAAACCACTGTGACATACATAAGGAGCACTCTATTCCTACCAACACTGGACCTCAGGACAAGCTAGTTAACCGGAGCCTAACTGATAAGGAGGTAGGCAAATACTTATCTCAAACCCACCCTAACCACCCTTCCCCATTCAATGGGAGGAGGAAGATGAAGTACAATGCATAGTTCATAGTCCAGAGGCACAATCTCACTAAAAGACTGAGACCTAAAATCACAGTCCTTCAAGAACCCTATGACTATGATCCCTGTCCCACCTCCACAACTTAACAAGTCACTAACGGCCTATTTAGAGCAGTTCCTTTTATGCAGTATAGAATACCTGGCAATCAAGGAAACATTACAAGATATACTAAAAGGCAAAACCTATGTTGTCTGCAAAAAAATTCACTTTCAATACAAGACAGGGATGAAAAGTAAATGCATGGAGAAAGATGTTCTGTGCTAATACTAATCAAAAAACAGTGGACAAGCTGTATTTCAGACAGAGCAGACTTCAGAGCAAGGGAAATGATCAGGGATAAAAAGTGGCATTACATGAAACATCAACTCTTCACTGAAACATGACAATCCCTAAAGTGTGTACCCTTAACAGAGGGTGAAACTATGTGAGGCAAAAAGTGATAGAACTGCAAGGAGAAACAGAATGACCCACCATTCCTATTGGGAGACTTTACACTCCTCTATCAGAATAGGACAGATGCAGTGGGTAAAAAAAATCAGTAAGAATGGTTGAACTAAACGGCACCTTTAACCAACTGGAAATAACTGACATCCACAGACTACTTCATCAAACAGAATAGGCATCTCATACCCATATGGAACATGCACCAAGAAAGCCCATACCATGGGCCAGAAAACATTTCTACAAATTAAAAAGTATATTAATCATATAGTGTCTGCTTTTAGCCTACAACTGAGTTTAGAAAACAAAGATAGCTGTAAAATCCCCAAATACTTTGAGATTAAATACATTACTAAATAACAATCAATGAAGAATTCTCAAGAGAAATTTAAAAAGATTTTGAATTAAATGAAATAGTACTTCTCAAAATTGAAGCAGTGCTTAGAGGGAAATTTACAAAATTAAAAAGTTCTGAAAATCAATCATACAGCCTCTAATTTAGGAAACTAGAAAATGAAGTGGAAATTAAATCTGAAGAATAAGAAAATAAAAATTAAAGCAGAATTAATGAAATTGACAACAGAAAATCAGTAGGAAAAAAAAAAACTGGTTCATTGAAAAGATCAATAAAGTTGATAAGCCTCTAGCCAGTTTACTGAGTAAAAAAAAAGGAAGACACAAATTACTAATACCAGAAATGAAAGAGGGTACATCACTACAGATCCCATGGACAGTAAAAAGATGGAAAGAATACTATGAACTCTATTATCACAACTTTCAAAACCTACAAAAAATGGACCAATTCCTTGAAAGATAAAGTTGGTCAGACTCATACAAGTAGAAATGGACATCTGAATAGATCTTTATGTATTAAAGAAAATGAATCAATTAACTGATAACCTCCTACAACAGAAAGTGCCAGGTCCAGAAAGGCTTACTGGTGAAGTCTACCAAACACTTATTAAGAAATTACAAAGAGATCAATGTAGGATAGAAAAGAGAGCCCACACACAGACCCATATAAATATAATCAACCAATGTTTGTTTTTTTTTTTTTAAGATTTTATTTATTTATTTGAGAGAGGGAATGAGATAGAGAGCACATGAGAGGGGGGAGGGTCAGAGGGAGCAGCAGACTCCCCGCTGAGCAGGGAGCCCAATGCGGGACTCAATCCCGGGACTCCAGGATCATGACCTGAGCCGAAGGCAGTCACTTAACCGACTGAGCCACCCAGGCGCCCTCAACCAATGTTTGACAAAGGAGCAAAAACAATACAATGGAGCAAAGATAGGTTTTTCAACAAATCGTCCTGGAACTGGACATACATGTGCAAAAAGTGATCCTAGACACAGCCCTTGCGATAAACACCCTTCACAAAAATAAACTCAAAATGGACCACAGACCTCCGTGTAAAATACAGAAATTGTAAAACCTAGAAGATAACACAAGAGAAAAACCTAGATGTCCTTAGGTATAGTGACTTCTTAGACAAAATACCAGTGGCATACATGATTCATGCAAGAAAGAACTGATAAGCTGACCTTCATTAAAATTTAAAACTCTGCAAAAGATACTGATACTATCAACTAAATGAAAAGCCACAGATTGGGAGAAAATATTTATAAATACATACCTGATAAACGACTGTTACCCAAAATATACAAAGAACCCTTAAGACATTAATAACCTGATTTAAAAAGAGACTGTAGACCTTAACAGGCACCTCATCAAAGAAAATACACAGACAAACCTTGCCAAATAAACATATGAAAACAATGTTCCATATCATATATCATCAGGGAAATGCAAATTTGAGCAATGAGATACTATACAAGTACTAGAATGCTGAAATCCTGAACACTGACAACACCCAATGCTGGTGAGGATGTGCAGCAACAGGAACTTGGATTGCTAGTGGAAATGAAAGATGGAACAAATGCAAAGGAAGAAAGTTTGGCAGTTTCTTGCAAAACTAAACATACTCCAAAACTTGGGAGAAACCAAGATATCCTTCAATAGATGAGTGGATGTATGTCATAATTCAGACAATGGAATATTATTCAGCAGTAAAAACAAATGAATTATCAAGTAACAAAAAGATGTAAGGAAACTTAAAATGCATATTACTATGTAGAAGAATCCAATCAAAAAACTATATACTATATGATTCCAATGATACACCTTCTGGAATAGGCAAAGCTATGGAGCCAGTAAAAAGATAAGTGGTTGGGGGCGCCTGGGTGGCTCAGTCGTTAAGTGTATGCTTTCGGCTCGGGTTGTGATCCCAGAGTCCTGGGATCGAGCCCCACATCGGGCTCCCTGCTTGGCGGGAAGCCTGCTTTTCCCATTCCCCCCTGCTGTGTTCCCTCTCTTGCTGTGTCTCTCTGTCAAATAAATAAAATCTTAAAAAAAAGTAAGTGGTTGCCTGGGGTTAGGGAGAATGGAGTCGTGAACAGGCAAAAGATTTTTAGGGCAATGAAACTATTCAATACAATATTATAATGGTGGAGAGCTTCCATGATGTATTTATCCAAAACCACAGAACATAGAGCTCAAAGAGCACACCCTAATGTAAGCTTTGGGTGAGATGAAACATTGTAGGTTCACTGATTATAACAAATATACCACACTGGTGAGGGATGTTGATAATGGGAGAGGTTATGCATGATGGAGGGTATATGGGAAATCTCTGCCTTCTGCTTCATTTTGTTGTGAACCGAAAGTTGCTCTAAAAAATAAAGCCTACAAAATACAGGTTTAGAGATTCTTGAATATGCATAGAATATATCCAGAAAGATACCCAGATCACTGGCAATATTTTCTGCCTCGGGGAGGGTACTGGGAAACTGGGAAAAGTTAAGAGGGAAAGATTTCATTCCTTCTTTGTATACTACTTTAATTTCTAGCCCATGTATTTGGTTAGTTTTTCAATAAAAAAATGGTTTAAGCCAGTTTCAAGTGAAGAGATGTTCTGTTATTCATGAAATAGTTACACCTCTCATTCTGAGTAATTCCTAGTCAAAATGACTAGGTACAAAATAAAGTACAATAATTTGCCCTGTAGGTTAATACAACCAGGATGCTTTGAGTCCACTTGCTCAACTGAACTCATGTTATATTCCCTCAAGGAACATCTTTACATCCTTGGCTGTGACAGACATGCTGTTTAATACACAATTTCATCAAGCCATTTAACAAGTTCTAATACATTACTCTCATTTCCTACTTAACTAACTCTATCCAAAAATGATGTAAATTACCTTCAACATCTTTCTGTACTGGCATCCATTCTTCTCTTGGCAATAGGTCCTTCAAGCTCCTTTGAAAAAGGAGAGACCTTTGCTGTCCAAATGGAATCTGACAGCCTCATACCACCTTCAACATGGGGCATATAACCTAGACTGGTCCAGGAGACTAGTCCATCTTCCTGGATTGGTAAGTAGAACCAGGATGACATGTGACAAAACCAAACCACCAGGAGTCAGCTTTGGAACTCTTGTTGAAATACTGGAAGAGAAGGCTCTTTCTTCTATGGGATCCCTGCCATGAAATCATTACAGGCCCACAAATGCTGTAACCGTCTTTGCCACTTTGAAATGACTGAGAATGAGGTCAATACAGAGTCAAAACCAAACTAGAAATAAAGGGATACAGATTCTAATATGGATTATGTCTTTGGAGTCCCTATTTAGCCAGCCTGAAGTGGCTTCTTTCTTGGAATTCTTGGTTGCACAAGACAGTGAATCATATACACTTTTTTTTCTTCTTCACTAAAATCCCTGAGTTAGGTTGCGGTTAAAACAAACAAGCAAAACAAACAATACAGATCTGATTCCTACTCCCAGTACTCATCACTTTAATTCTCTTAAACCACAACTCTCAGGACAAAGTATCTTAAACCTTAGGGTGAATTACATGAAAAAAGTGCACAAGTACAGAATCTCAGCCTTTTAATTCAAGTTTAAGATACAATATGCATTTCTTTCTTTCAGGAATTTCCCACCCTCTGACCTCAAGAGTCTTCCTCATACAATTCCTTCATCTGAACCATTCCAAAATCACATTTCAACATCTGTATTAATTAGGGGTCACCAGAGAAACAAAGCTAATGGAATGTTTATAAAAATTTCTTTAAGAACTAGCTCATGTGGGAGGTACAAGTCCAAAATATGTCAGGTAGACAGTTTTGCTGCAGACACAGTGAGGAGCTGAAGTCCACAGGTCATATGCTGGCAAAATTCCTTATTGCTCAGACTGCAATTTTAAAATGGCTGCCACTAGGAGCTCCTTGGACTAAAGATTCTACTACTTAGGTGGGATCAGTGATTGATGGACTCAAAAGCAGCCCTTATCACACCTAGTTTTCTCCTTGGAAAACAGTTGCATAAGATACACAACATAGTTAATCTACAGCAGGGTACACCAAAGAATAGATTTAACATTATCTTTGCTACCAGAGGCATGAGAAGGGTGAATCACTCCATGGATCCTCCTGCCCTGCCTAAAGCCCCCTCCCACTCTGTAATGCATGAAATCCTAGATGTCTACCTCCCAAACATTTAAGCCTCATCATTCTTCTCCCAGGTACTTTTTCGACCTCCCCAGGACAGCTCTTAGAATCTTTAGGCCTTGTTGAAAAAATTATAGGGACTAGGAGCTCTAAGGTACTTCTACCAGACTGGTTTCATAAAATTTTGGTTTGACTCCTCTGTAACTCTGGGCAAGTCCGGGACTCTGAGCCTCTGTTCCCTCACTTGTGAAACACAGCAATATTACCTAGCTGATGGGGGTTGTTGAGGTCAAATGAAAGAGCCTACTTCAGTATTTGGCAGAATAAGTGGCATATAGGTAGAATTCCAATTTTACCTATTAAGGTGAACTTCAAACACTGCCCCTGTGTGCTGCCATAATCTCTTTTGTGTCAAGACAGGGTGAGGAAAGGGAAGTGGTGGATTAAGGTATTGCTTTAGGGGGAGGGTCCCTAACCCCACTGAACTCGGATTTCTTACCTGCCCCAGGAACAGACAATGGATTATAGGTGGGATTCTGGTACCAGGGACTCGGGTAAGGCTGCTGGCCCACGGCATGCACATAAAAAAAGGGTCTGGCGTTACCACCCTCAAAATGTGTGTTGTTTTCTGAAGAGGAGTTCATTTTCTAGGCAGAAAAACAGGTGTTCATATTTAGGAAAGGACAGTGGCGCTCAGCGCTGCCATGAAGGGAGAAATCATCCTAGTTCCCTTTCAGAACCCCAAGGCTGGGGGGCAGGGTCCTCACCTTCTCTTCCCGCTCGCCGGGATCGGGGACACAGGGCTGCACTGCACTGCGCACCAGGGTAGCGCTGCCCATGAGCGGGGCCGTAACCTGCCAGAGCAAGTCTCGGCTCCCCGAGCCGCAGCCGCAGCCCCAAAGGAAGACCGAGGCTTGGGAGGCCAAGAGGGAAGCTGTGCGGCGCCTGGAGCGCGCCGGGCTACGCCCAGGAGCTCCACTCGAGGGCGGTGGCTTGGGCCCGGCCTGCAGGCACGGGTCCTCGGCCTGGCCTGCGTGCCTATCCCGCCCCCTCCCCAGTCTGGAGGAGCCCATCCCCTGGGCCCAGTGTCTCCTTACCCACGGCTCCCACCCCGCCCCCGTCCCACAAGCCAGTCTACTCCGCTCCCTCGGGACCCGCATCCCCACACCCCCACCTGCTCCAAACCTACCTCCGCGACCTGGAGAGTCTCTGGCACCTGCTGCCCTGGCTCCCGCCCTTACATACCCTGGCTAGCACGTGCTGCCTTTTGCGCAGGTGCCGCCCTCCCGCAGATGGCCCGCGCATGCGCTCTGGACGAGGCCCGCAGCCTGGCGGCTCTGTCCCGAGGCACCTGGAGAAGCTCGAGAGTAGTTTTCCACACCATGCTAGCTCCAGTGCGTGGACGCCCAGGTGTCGGTGCTTCCTGAGGACGGGTCAGTCCCTGCGGCCCCCCCCCCCGCCGCTCTCCCAGACTGTACCTTCCATTTGAGTGTGTTCAGTTAGGACAGCCTGTGTTCCCTCCTCTGAGCTCCTGGTGTCCTTCGTTCCTCGGGCCTAACGCCTCTGACACTTAGGAAGAGGAGCTGACTGAGGACAAGGAGAGAGGAAGGAGGAGGCCAGCCTGGACGGTGCAGGCCTGAGAGGAAGCGATTCACAAAGGAGGGGCGCTCCAGCCTGCTTCCCGCTGAGGCGAGTAAAAAGCAGGGGTGCAGAGGCTCTGGCAGTCAGGGCGCCATCTGGGGAGAGTGAGGGCCAGGGGGCCTGGGGAAGTCGTCTGTGAGCGGGTAGGTAGGCAGTTTGAGGGAGAAGCTGGCGCGCACGGACTCCGCTTTTCTTTTGCTCGTGGGAGAAAGGAAAGACTCTGGGAGAGTAGTTAACGGGAGTCGTGGGGTGGGAAGGAGGATTGTGAATTTTTTGTTTTGTTTTTTTTTTTTAAAGATAGAGATTTCGGTAGCTTTATGGCCAGAATGGACAGACGAGGAGATGTTACCTATAGTGGAGAGAGAAGGGATGTTAGCAAGATGTTCTGAGGAAGCACAAGGCAAGGTTAGCTAAACCTGGCTGCAATGCTCTGCCTTGGACAGAAGTTACTGGGTAAGAGGGAACTGAGGTCCTCAAGGCAGGGATTTCAGTGCTTTAGCATCGAATGACCTTGATTTTTTCAGTGGAGGGCAGGAATAAGACTTGCAGGGACCACTGAAAATTGGGGATGATTATTTGTATTACCAGGTAAAAATTGTGTTTGAGCCGAAATAGTGGTGCCTGACACTGGATAAAAGTTTTTCTTTCACATGGAGAAGTCTGGAGGTATGCCACCCATCCAGCACTGGTCTGGAAGCTCCTTGCTATCACAAAGAACCCAATCTCCTCTCTTTCTGCTCTGCCATCCTTAGCAATGGTTTCCACCTTCAAATTGCCACGTGTTTCAAGATGCCTGTTCCAGGCAGAAAGCAGGGAGTTGAGAGGGCAAAGGGTAATAAAGAGCACAAGGTTACACAGACGCCTCTCTCTGTCATCAGTTTTGCTTTTAAGGAGCTTTACTAGAAGACCTACCCAACTTCAGATTATACCACTTTGGCTTCTCATGGCTGAAATGTAGTTATCTTTTAGCTGGGCATATTGCTACTTGAAATAAATTGAGATGCTGTGACTAAGGAAGAAAATGGGTATTAATTGAGTTGACAACTAACAATGTCTACCATACTGCTGCAGGAAAGAGAAAAAGCATTCATCTACAGATGTGCAAAAGGATTGCTGGTAGAGTTGAGGGCTGATCTAGAATGAGGATTACTATACAAATTACAATACAATACAAATTACTATTTGTATTGTCCCTCATCTGCAGGTCTGTCACTTGCTCAGGCATATTCAGTTGCTTGGGAGAGACATTGAACAATTGGATGGATCAAGGACTTGTTTTGCAAGGCTTGTGGAAAGAAGAGCAAGGGTTCAAGAAAGTTCAGTGTAATGGTGAGAAATTAAAGTAATGCATCATGGCACATAATATATACCCTGCACTTGCATGACCCTGAACATGAGTGCTTCCTTAAATTTTCACCCTAGGGTGGACCCTACTTAGTGGCTAATATACAGTCAAGAAGAAAAAGGAAGTGATGTTGGAGAGGAGCTGAACAAATGGAGAAAAAAATTAATGGGGATCTTTCACCTGAGAGTGAAAGAGCTAGAGGGAGGGGGGTTGAGGTCAGAGAATGGAAATTTTAAATTTAGGATTTTAGAGTTGGAGCAGTTGCAAATTATAACAAGGTCCATAGGGTGGCCAAGCAGTGGTTTGCTGAAATGCTGTGGGGTAAAAATCATTGACACTGAAGAAGAAAAAGATCAGGGAAGCTGGAGTTTTGGATGATTCACCCCCTCCTTCATATCATAGTCATTTAGAGGTTCCTATGTCCTCAGTGAATGTGGTAGTGACCCACAAAGTGAAAGAGAGAAGTATCAGAAGATGTTCGTATTTATAATTTTATAATATTTTTCTTAAAGAGAGTTCCCCAAATTTTATAATATTCAGTCCCCAGAAAACTTGGATTTTCCACAAGCTGGTGGCCATGTCTCAGCCCTAGAGTACATGCAGAGTGGGAGAAAGAAGAACCCCCTTATGAGGGCAGCTCAGAATAGGAGTGACCTTGGGAGAAAGCAAAGTTCAGCAACTATTCAGTAAATAGGTTGAGGGATATGTTGGGTTGTGTTTAGCCAAGCAGGACTTCCAAGTCACATAATTGAGAGGGTTGGTAGGTAGATCATTAGGGAGCAGAACTGGAATGAGAGTGTCCCAGAAATGCCAGCTAACTGGAAACTTTGGTTTTGGGGCAGTGCTGGAAGATGTCAAGGGATGAAACTACCTGGTTTTGGACTACTTGGCCCATAGTGGTACTATCTGGTCCATAGATACCAAGTTGACCTCTGATATAAGAATGTTTTTGTGCCATCTGTGGCATTTTGTGTGGGGTGGAATGTCTGAAGTTAGGTGATGGTT